TTCTTATGCTTTCGTTATAACTCCGTGACATCCGCGCTTCGGGTTTGGAGATCGTCACGTTCCCATAAATGTTGATTGGTTTCCACCACATCTTTCATAAACTTTCGATATAGGCAAGTGATTTACCCAAATCCTTGTGAGAATAGATAAAATCGTCTTTGAAGTTAGGAGCCAGAGACTCAAGCCGAAAATGTGATGTTTTTTAGACTATCACTTATCCGCTGAGACGGAGGAGGGTGCATCGATAACTTTATAAATGTTAAGTGCTAAATAGTACAAGCGGATGATCAACTTAAGTTAAAATACCTTACACCACACACGCCATGATCTTCCACCAGTTGACAACCCATTTCACTCAACCCTGCTTCCCAAAAAGATATTCTCATACTGGACTACAGTTTCGATCTCTCATCAGCACCCTCAACGGCGATCGAGCCCAAGTTGTGGTAGCGGACAGCATAATTTCGACAGGATACCAACTCTCCGCCACAGCCACGAGTGCCAGTCGGTAACAAAGCAAAGTGAATTTCAAAGAGAGCTGCGCCTCTCCCATACCCCATTTTTGTATTATGGGGTTAACAAGCAAGTGTTGTGGAGACTTTCATTTCCCATGATAGTGCATGATGAAGAGAAACATAGATTGACCTCACGAAAAGACGACGGACAGATCCCGAAACGAGATAGGATGTCTCGTGGACCGTGCCAGCCCAAACATCGTAGTAGAGCAAAACAGCTGCAAAATAACAGAACTCAACCATCCTCTTGCGGTGAGGTCAACCAACAAATCTGTTTATAATCCACTTTCGTTCCACAACAATGCCATTATCTCAAGAGCTGCATCAAAACACAGCTATTCTGCATGTCTACGACATGTATTTGCGATTATCGTTGACAACGTTGTTTGCATTCGAGTTAGGCAGGATTTCGAGACTCAGTGGATCTTGACTAAGAGATTCCGTCACCATGGACAGCCAAGATGTTGAATTGGTCGAGGGCGACTGAAGCTCTTCGTCAAGATGGTCTTCTAGCCTTCAAGTCGAGAACTGGAGGACTGGGAAAGACATGCACCAGCCAGACACTCCAGACGGGACAAGCTGGAGCAACGAATGGGCTCTCGCCCGAGACGAGGGCGGAAGCCTCAGCTGATCGATCCGACTCCCAAGGCAGTAAATAATAGCGCATCTGCAAATGGGTACCTGCTTGTGAGGATTTTGGAAGAATAAAGCTTCGAGCCGCCTGGCAGCCCACATTGAAAAAGAGGAAGCATCTGCCAGAAAAGTAGACTCTTTCATTATGAAGGCATGTTCGCCCAGTAACAGTGTGCACGAGTGTGTGTTGGATGTGTGTGTGTGTGTGAATGCGCACATGAAGACGGGGCGTGATGAAGTGGAGTTGCAAAGAGAACAAACAGCAAGGCACGCAAAGCGTTTGCCTCCAGGCCATAATCTGCCAAGTCAGAAATTAGGATTGAGATAGTTGTGAAAGTGACAAGACTGTGTTTCCGGCCGACTGGCCCTCTTACCAGCCACTCCCACCTGCCACATGGCCCCGACCGCA